AAGACTATCCTACTCATCCAATGAGGGATTGCCTAAAGTAAAGTAAGTAAGTTCACCTATATCCAGAGAGCACTGTGGACTCAAACAATGATGGATCTGGACCAAACTTGGCACAAATACTCAATATGCCCAAATGTGAACAGTGGTGGGGTTTGGGGAAAATACACCTTGACATTTGGGAATTGTACTTGCTGGGATTTATAATTCACCAACTATCAAAGAGCATTCTGAACCCCACCAATGATAGAATTAGGACAAACTTCCCACAAAGAACCCCATGACCAACAGCCATGTCCTAATCTATATAAATAAAAATGTTTTCTGATGGTCTTTGGCAACCCCTTTGACACCCCCTTGTGACCCACCGCAGGGGTCTCGACCCCCAGGTTGAGAACCACTGCAGAAGACTAATCAACAACACAAGTTGGAACTAAGAAACCTTACAGTTTGTTCGGAATCTCTTACTCTCTCTAGCTTCTGCCTACACCAACATGGAAGGAGGAAAGTTCAGCACTCAATTAATTTTTCTCCTACCTTCTATGCTCTTCCACTTTTCACAGGTTCCAAGGGAAGTAGGGGAATATCACAATCCATCAATTCCACAATATTTACTGTAGTGTGTGTGTGTGTGTGTGTGTGTGTATACACACATTCTTCTGTAAGCTAAGCTAAGCTGTCTGTATCAGAGCTTGGAAAAGCTATTGTCTGCTGGACAACGTCCAAAAAGAAATGATAGAGGTGATATGAGACTTTCACATTTTCAAGGCTGTGTTCTGCTGCTCTGAACACAAACCACTGCAAAGAAGATCGCTTCTAAACACTGGGGAAAGCTTCCAGAAGATAATGGAAGTTTCATAGTGGAAAAGGTTGCTTTTGAAGATAATAATAATAATGTTTATTTATACCCCACTTTATCTCCTCCGAAGGGGACTCAAAGCCGCTTAACATAAAAGCGTCAGCATAACAATTTAAAAACACAAAAATATATGAACATTAAAACAGGATTAAATATAACCAGTATTTAAAAAATCCCAGTTAAACACCATTAAAACACATTCAAAGTTAAAGTTAATATAGTAGAAGATAATAGAGTCTCCTTCTTTTGGAGGTCTCTAAACAGAGGCTAAAAAGACAAAGATGGCAGAATTATAAAAATGTTGGTGAGGAGCAAATGTCAATGTTAGAATGTATAAATTACATGAATATAATGAAAAGCAGAAGTGTGGTAATACAGTATTATCTAAAGGGAATTAGATCAATGGATATGATGTTCATAGGTAGTCTTTCTAATGTGCTTGTTGTAAAGTATGAGTATGTTAATGTATGTTCTGGATGGTAATGTTCATATGTGCATGTCAATGTAGGCATGTGCTATGTTAATGCGTTTGCTTCGTTTATTTTTGTAGTATGTTGCAGTGGCTAATTAGATAGCTGCTTATAGTTTAATGGTTTTAATCCACAGTTATATGCTGTTTAGATATGTGAAGTATTTTATATATATGTGAGGCATTGAATTTTGTCATTTATTATGTTGTAAACCACTTTGAGTCCCATCGGGATTGAGAAAAGCAGTATAGAAATGCAATAAATAAATAAATACATAAATAAATAAATAATGCTTAGTTTTAGCAATAAATATGAAAATATGCTTCTTTCTATTATTTCTGCTCTTTTACTAAGTTTTATTTATTTCCGAATAGAAATTAGTTTAAAGAAAGAATTACAGCAGTTTGATGCTGTACGGCCATTGCACAAGACTATAGAATTCTGGGGATTTGTATTTTTCTGGGATATTTAGCTTTTTCTGTCTGGTACCAAAACAAACTACAAATCCTAGATGTCTATAGCACTGAGCCACAGTAATTAAAGTGGTGTCCCACTGCTATCATTCCTTAGATTTCCAACATTTTGTCCTCCAGATGTTTTGGATTTCAGCTCCCAGAACCCCTGGCCATTGAGCAAGCTGGCTGTGGCTTCTCGGTTTCAAACATTTAACAGGATCTAAGGGCTGGAATGCTGCTGCATCCACTGCATTTCTCTCCTATGTTGGAAATTATCCCCCCCCCCCAAAAAAAAAATAAAAATAGTTCCTTGTTCAAAGCTTTGATCACAAGGAAAATAAAAAAAGGTGAATTCTGGCGATTTCTGTAAGCAAACTGCTTACTAAGATACACGTGAGAAATAAAATTATTATTATTATTATTATTATTATTATATTTTGAATGAATGCAGTTCCATATCACTTTACCTGCCATGGCTCAATGCTATGGAATCCTGGGAATTATAGTTTTATAGGTCTTTATAGCCTTCTCTGCCAAAGAGTGTTGGTTTCTCACCAAAGTACAGCCATGTCCTAATGGGATTATATAGTTAATATACAACTGTAGTTTTGAGACGCACCAGCACTCTTTGGCAGAGAAACTAAAACTCCATGGATTACATCCCATTAAGCCATGACAGTTAAAAATGCTATCAAACTGCATTAAATTGTACAGTGTAGATGCAGCCTAAGAACAGTTTCAAACTCTTGCTTTCTGGGTGTGGATTCTAGGAGCTGCCGTCCAAAAAGAAATTAAAAAGGAATTTCTCCAAGTTATTATTAGCTTACACTATTCTACAAATTTTCAGTTTTTCTCAGTTTCGGAAACGAAATGTGCCGTTTCTTAATAAATTTAACATGCTGAATTCAAATATAATAATTAAATGTGTTAATTGGCTCTAGTTTTTATGCAACAGCTATTTCTATTTTCTCCACAATAGGTAATTCGTTAATATTATGATAATGCACCTAACCTTACTGCATGTATATAAACCGTGAATATTTACTAAATTTTAGTCAAATTATATTGCCAATAGTTTATACATGAGAAATATTTATATAATTAGTCTATTGTTTATGTTTGTGCAGCAAGAAACTATATTAGTAGGCCTAATGCAGTTGAAAAGTCTGAAAGTCTAAATGTCGCTTTAATCGTGACTTTAGTTTATATCCTGTTTGCTTCTCTTGACTTTTCTTTTGTATTCAAGGAAAGGATTGTCTCTTACAATGCTCCAGCAGGAGTCTGACAGCATTGACGGAGTCCATTGGCCTTGATGTCTTTTTTCCATAGTGCTTTATTTACAACTGACTGACCCTCACCGTTCAAAAGTCTGGCCTTATATAGGGCTTTCTGGCTTTTGCATACGGCACTAATACTGCGTCATCAAACTTTCTAGAATATTCTAGAATCTTCCATAGTGTAAGTCGCAACATGCATTTTTTCAACCATACATGATCACGTGATTGCTTATATCATAAAAACTAGAGCCAATATACATTTTTAAATGTCATTTTCGTTTTCAGCACCCCAAAATCATAAAAGAACAACTATTTTCAGGCCCGCAACTTTTTCTCCGTTAAACAGTGTTATTAGATTCAGTGAGTGTATATGCAGGCTAAGAACAGGTTCCAACACTTGCCTTAATGGGTCTGGATTCTAGGAGCTGCCGTCCAAAAGGTTTCGGCGGTGACCAGGGGAGCTTTTGGAAAATTAAAATTTGTGCAAAAGCTGTGCCCGTACCTGGGGAAGTCAGACTTGGCTATGGTGATCCACACTTTGTTTACATCCCATATAGATTACTGCAACACGCTCTACATAGGATTGCCTTTGAAGACTGTTCGGAAGTTCCAACTGGTCCAGCAAGCGGCTGTCAGGTTGCTCACCGGCACAGTGCTCAGAGAGCATACAACTTCCCTGTTGTGTCAGCTCCATTGGCTGCCAATCTGCTACCGAGCACAATCCAAACTGCTAGCTTTAGCCTATAAAGGCCTAAAATGAAGTCTGACTCTGGGGTGTGGTGTAGGGCTGGGCGGTTTCCTTCGTTAATTTCGTAATTCGTTATTGATTCGTATTTAAATTAGCTTACGATCCGATATTGAACCATTCAGGAGCAACTAAAAATCGAAACGAATTTTTCAATTCATTTCGTAATTGTTTCGAAATTTTCGTTTCGTTATTATTTCCGCATGTCTGGGGCAAGTTTTATAGTTGTTGTTTGTTTAATCAGTGAAAAAAAATTATAAATATCACACCAACAGTCAACAACAGAGGGAGAGGGAAGCTTCAGAAGTTCCCCCTGTCCCATTTGGTTTTTTAGCGTATTTCGGGTCGCGTCCGCCATTAACGAATCAATTGTTTCGTAATTGTTTCGTAATTTCCGAAATTTCGTATATTTCGAACTTTTTTAAAGAAAAATTTCGGAATTCTTTTAAAAAACGAAACGCAAAAACCCCCTAAAAACGAATCGAGTTTAGAAACAAATTTTTCCGTGGTTGCCCAGCCCTAGTGTGGTGCTCATTTCCATTTCTAGGCCGAAGAGGCGGCGTTGTCCACAGACACCTCCGAGGTCATGTGGCCGGCATGACTGCATGAAACGCCGTTACCTTCCCGCCGGAGCGGTACCTATTGATGTACTCACATTTGCATGTTTTTGAACTGCTAGGATGGCAGAAGCTAGGGCTGACAGCGGAAGCTCACGCCGCTCCCCTATATTGTACTGTAATATTATTAGTAATATTGCATATAATGTAAAATATATAATTATAACATATTGTTGTTATTATTATTAGATTATTATTACTATTAGATTGCTAAGTATAGTGTATATATAATTATAATATTATTGTATTGTATTACATTATATTACAAGTGTTATATATATGTATATAATATATAATTAGCATAACACAGGAGACAAGATGGAACTGTCTTCGTGGGCCCCTTCTCTTCACTTCCCTTTAAAAAGGAACTTCTCCAAACTTGGCAGGAAGCTGGATCTCCTGAATGTGAGCCCAGTGACGTCACGCGCCTCCCTCCCCTTTCTCTTCCCATTCATTTCTCAAACTCCAGCAGGACAAAGCCTAGCTCCGCCCCCAGCCCTGCTCCCAGCCAATCCCGTCGAAGTGAAGGCGGGCCCAGAGTGGCTGTGTCCTCATTGGCCGCCCCTCCTGTCAATCTTACCTCAGCCCCGCCCCTCGCTCGTCTTCTCTTCACCGGCAACCGGCTTTCTTTGCGAAGAGGCGGCTGAGGAAAAATGCTCGCAAGAGGGAACCCCAGAAGGCTTCGACGGCTCCGGCAGGGCTTCCGTCTCCGTTTATGCCCGTTAAGCTGCCGTTTCGGCGTCCCTGCTGCCTTGCTCCTTCACCGGCCGGGCGAAGGTGGAATGCGCATGCGCGAAGCTGGGCTCGC